GTTAACCTAAGCAAAAATTGTAAACAAAGCAAAGATTGCACTATATAGATACTGCACTCAGAGCTGTAAGAATATGTTAAAAGTATCTTAAGTAGTCGTAAACAATGTATACACAATGTTCCGAACGATGTTATTAGTTTAAGCAACTGTTAAGCCGTATATAATGTAACACAATGAGCTTGTACACATAGTTAAGCTAGACATAAGTAACGTTCAGCCAATTGCCAGACAATGTTAAGATAATCAATGAGGTAGAAAGGAAGAAAACGACTCAAAGAAGGAAAAGGAGCCCAAGAAGACTGCCAAGGAGTCCAAGAAAGAAACCCCCAAAGCCGCAGAGCAAAACAAAAACAATGATCAGTCCACGATTGATCTCTTTACAGCCAAGAAAGCGGACACCAGCAAGAAAGAGAAGCCAGAAGTTAAGACTGCGGAGAAAGGCAAGAAGAAAGATCAAACCACAGACGATTCCAAGCCAAAAGAAGCTCCCAAAAAGGATACACCAAAAACCTTAGGGAAGCCAAAGAAGGAGGAATCAGTAGAAAAGAGCAACAAAGAAGAAAAGTCCCAGAAAGAAAAAGAAGAAGACTCACCTGCCGCCAGTAATCAAAAAGAAACAAGCAGGAAGAGTAAAGGCAAAAAACAGAAGGAGGAGGTCAACCAGAAGGAAGAAAACGACTCAAGGAAGGAAAAGGACCCCAAGAAGACTACCAAGAAGTACAAGAAAGAACCCCCTAAATATTGTTTATTAATACGCTTTTTTACAGGTTCAACATTCGACGCAAGCGTTACATAGGAATTGGCAATAACACAACAGACATACGGATACATAATGTTGTCTATAACAGAGGCTCTTTCCAGTATACGGCCCTTTGTAGAGAAACTGACTCACATTATTGGCGTTGTTTAACAGATAACATGAAGAAGAGGACACTAACGGATCGCTAACCAACACATCATATGCTCCTATATATTGGACTCCTTCAAGCGGACGACGATTGATGGTATCAATGTTGTTTGATAGACGGCGCTGTAAAACTAAAGGCGCATTACACGTCCGTCTCTAGGTTACATACATGAACAAATAAGACATACCAAAGACAATTTGGATTATATTAAGGATAACGCAAATGTTATACCACACTAGTGATGGTAGAACAATAATAAGAAATGTTAATACTTAAGAATGTTAACCTAAGCAAAAATTGTAAACAAAGCAAAGATTGCACTATATAGATACTGCACTCAGAGCTGTAAGAATATGTTAAAAGTATCTTAAGTAGTCGTAAACAATGTATACACAATGTTCCGAACGATGTTATTAGTTTAAGCAACTGTTAAGCCGTATATAATGTAACACAATGAGCTTGTACACATAGTTAAGCTAGACATAAGTAACGTTCAGCCAATTGCCAGACAATGTTAAGATAATCAATGAGGTAGAAAGGAAGAAAACGACTCAAAGAAGGAAAAGGAGCCCAAGAAGACTGCCAAGGAGTCCAAGAAAGAAACCCCCAAAGCCGCAGAGCAAAACAAAAACAATGATCAGTCCACGATTGATCTCTTTACAGCCAAGAAAGCGGACACCAGCAAGAAAGAGAAGCCAGAAGTTAAGACTGCGGAGAAAGGCAAGAAGAAAGATCAAACCACAGACGATTCCAAGCCAAAAGAAGCTCCCAAAAAGGATACACCAAAAACCTTAGGGAAGCCAAAGAAGGAGGAATCAGTAGAAAAGAGCAACAAAGAAGAAAAGTCGCAGAAAGAAAAAGAAGAAGACTCACCTGCCGCCAGTAATCAAAAAGAAACAAGCAGGAAGAGTAAAGGCAAAAAACAGAAGGAGGAGGTCAACCAGAAGGAAGAAAACGACTCAAGGAAGGAAAAGGACCCCAAGAAGACTACCAAGAAGTACAAGAAAGAACCCCCTAAATATTGTTTATTAATACGCTTTTTTACAGGTTCAACATTCGACGCAAGCGTTACATAGGAATTGGCAATAACACAACAGACATACGGATACATAATGTTGTCTATAACAGAGGCTCTTTCCAGTATACGGCCCTTTGTAGAGAAACTGACTCACATTATTGGCGTTGTTTAACAGATAACATGAAGAAGAGGACACTAACGGATCGCTAACCAACACATCATATGCTCCTATATATTGGACTCCTTCAAGCGGACGACGATTGATGGTATCAATGTTGTTTGATAGACGGCGCTGTAAAACTAAAGGCGCATTACACGTCCGTCTCTAGGTTACATACATGAACAAATAAGACATACCAAAGACAATTTGGATTATATTAAGGATAACGCAAATGTTATACCACACTAGTGATGGTAGAACAATAATAAGAAATGTTAATACTTAAGAATGTTAACCTAAGCAAAAATTGTAAACAAAGCAAAGATTGCACTATATAGATACTGCACTCAGAGCTGTAAGAATATGTTAAAAGTATCTTAAGTAGTCGTAAACAATGTATACACAATGTTCCGAACGATGTTATTAGTTTAAGCAACTGTTAAGCCGTATATAATGTAACACAATGAGCTTGTACACATAGTTAAGCTAGACATAAGTAACGTTCAGCCAATTGCCAGACAATGTTAAGATAATCAATGAGGTAGAAAGGAAGAAAACGACTCAAAGAAGGAAAAGGAGCCCAAGAAGACTGCCAAGGAGTCCAAGAAAGAAACCCCCAAAGCCGCAGAGCAAAACAAAAACAATGATCAGTCCACGATTGATCTCTTTACAGCCAAGAAAGCGGACACCAGCAAGAAAGAGAAGCCAGAAGTTAAGACTGCGGAGAAAGGCAAGAAGAAAGATCAAACCACAGACGATTCCAAGCCAAAAGAAGCTCCCAAAAAGGATACACCAAAAACCTTAGGGAAGCCAAAGAAGGAGGAATCAGTAGAAAAGAGCAACAAAGAAGAAAAGTCCCAGAAAGAAAAAGAAGAAGACTCACCTGCCGCCAGTAATCAAAAAGAAACAAGCAGGAAGAGTAAAGGCAAAAAACAGAAGGAGGAGGTCAACCAGAAGGAAGAAAACGACTCAAGGAAGGAAAAGGACCCCAAGAAGACTACCAAGAAGTACAAGAAAGAACCCCCTAAATATTGTTTATTAATACGCTTTTTTACAGGTTCAACATTCGACGCAAGCGTTACATAGGAATTGGCAATAACACAACAGACATACGGATACATAATGTTGTCTATAACAGAGGCTCTTTCCAGTATACGGCCCTTTGTAGAGAAACTGACTCACATTATTGGCGTTGTTTAACAGATAACATGAAGAAGAGGACACTAACGGATCGCTAACCAACACATCATATGCTCCTATATATTGGACTCCTTCAAGCGGACGACGATTGATGGTATCAATGTTGTTTGATAGACGGCGCTGTAAAACTAAAGGCGCATTACACGTCCGTCTCTAGGTTACATACATGAACAAATAAGACATACCAAAGACAATTTGGATTATATTAAGGATAACGCAAATGTTATACCACACTAGTGATGGTAGAACAATAATAAGAAATGTTAATACTTAAGAATGTTAACCTAAGCAAAAATTGTAAACAAAGCAAAGATTGCACTATATAGATACTGCACTCAGAGCTGTAAGAATATGTTAAAAGTATCTTAAGTAGTCGTAAACAATGTATACACAATGTTCCGAACGATGTTATTAGTTTAAGCAACTGTTAAGCCGTATATAATGTAACACAATGAGCTTGTACACATAGTTAAGCTAGACATAAGTAACGTTCAGCCAATTGCCAGACAATGTTAAGATAATCAATGAGGTAGAAAGGAAGAAAACGACTCAAAGAAGGAAAAGGAGCCCAAGAAGACTGCCAAGGAGTCCAAGAAAGAAACCCCCAAAGCCGCAGAGCAAAACAAAAACAATGATCAGTCCACGATTGATCTCTTTACAGCCAAGAAAGCGGACACCAGCAAGAAAGAGAAGCCAGAAGTTAAGACTGCGGAGAAAGGCAAGAAGAAAGATCAAAACCACAGACGATTCCAAGCCAAAAGAAGCTCCCAAAAAGGATACACCAAAAACCTTAGGGAAGCCAAAGAAGGAGGAATCAGTAGAAAAGAGCAACAAAGAAGAAAAGTCGCAGAAAGAAAAAGAAGAAGACTCACCTGCCGCCAGTAATCAAAAAGAAACAAGCAGGAAGAGTAAAGGCAAAAAACAGAAGGAGGAGGTCAACCAGAAGGAAGAAAACGACTCAAGGAAGGAAAAGGACCCCAAGAAGACTACCAAGAAGTACAAGAAAAGAACCCCCTAAATATTGTTTATTAATACGCTTTTTTACAGGTTCAACATTCGACGCAAGCGTTACATAGGAATTGGCAATAACACAACAGACATACGGATACATAATGTTGTCTATAACAGAGGCTCTTTCCATAAACCGCCCCTTTTTGGGAAAACAAATTCACATTATTTTTAATATTTAACAAATAAAAAGAAGAAGAAGAAAAGGACAAATAACAAAAAAACACAACATAAATTATAAATATTTAAAAATTCAAGCGGAAGAAGATTGATAATATTAATGTTAATAAAATAAAAAGGAAAAAAAAAAAAAAAAAACAAACCCCATTCTTTTTTTAGGTTACAAACATGAACAAATAAGATGTACCAAAGACAATTTGGATTATATTAAGGATAACGCAAATGTTATACCACACTAGTGATGGTAGAACAATAATAAGAAATGTTAATACTTAAGAATGTTAACCTAAGCAAAAATTGTAAACAAAGCAAAGATTGCACTATATAGATATTGCACTCAGAGCTGTAAGAATATGTTAAAAGTATCTTAAGTAGTCGTAAACAATGTATACACAATGTTCCGAACGATGTTATTAGTTTAAGCAACTGTTAAGCCGTATATAATGTAACACAATGAGCTTGTACACATAGTTAAGCTAGACATAAGTAACGTTCAGCCAATTGCCAGACAATGTTAAGATAATCAATGAGGTAGAAAGGAAGAAAACGACTCAAAGAAGGAAAAGGAGCCCAAGAAGACTGCCAAGGAGTCCAAGAAAGAAACCCCCAAAGCCGCAGAGCAAAACAAAAACAATGATCAGTCCACGATTAATCTCTTTACAGCCAAGAAAGCGGACACCAGCAAGAAAGAGAAGCCAGAAGTTAAGACTGCGGAGAAAGGCAAGAAGAAAGATCAAAACACCAACGATTCCAAGCCAAAAGAAGCTCCCAAAAGGATACACCAAAAACCTTAGGGAAGCCAAAGAAGGAGGAATCAGTAGAAAAGAGCAACAAAGAAGAAAAGTCGCAGAAAGAAAAAGAAGAAGACTCACCTGCCGCCAGTAATCAAAAAGAAACAAGCAGGAAGAGTAAAGGCAAAAAACAGAAGGAGGAGGTCAACCAGAAGGAAGAAAACGACTCAAGGAAGGAAAAGGACCCCAAGAAGACTACCAAGAAGTACAAGAAAAGAACCCCTAAATATTGTTTATTAATACGCTTTTTACAGGTTCAACATTCGACGCAAGCGTTACATAGGAATTGGCAATAACACAACAGACATACGGATACATAATGTTGTCTATAACAGAGGCTCTTTCCAGTATACGGCCCTTTGTAGAGAAACTGACTCACATTATTGGCGTTGTTTAACAGATAACATGAAGAAGAGGACACTAAGGGATCGCTAACTAACACATCATATGCTCCTATATATTGGACTCCTTCAAGCGGACGACGATTGGATGGTATCAATGTTGTTTGATAGACGGCGCTGTAAAACTAAAGGCGCATTACACGTCCGTCTCTAGGGTTACAAACATGAACAAATAAGATGTACCAAAGACAATTTGGATTATATTAAGGATAACGCAAATGTTATACCACACTAGTGATGGTAGAACAATAATAAGAAATGTTAATACTTAAGAATGTTAACCTAAGCAAAAATTGTAAACAAAGCAAAGATTGCACTATATAGATATTGCACTCAGAGCTGTAAGAATATGTTAAAAGTATCTTAAGTAGGTCGTAAACAATGTATACACAATGTTCCGAACGAGTGTTATTAGTTTAAGCAACTGTTAAGCCGTATATAATGTAACACAATGAGCTTGTACACATAGTTAAGCTAGACATAAGTAACGTTCAGCCAATTGCCAGACAATGTTAAGATAATCAATGAGGTAGAAAGGAAGAAAACGACTCAAAGAAGGAAAAGGAGCCCAAGAAGACTGCCAAGGAGTCCAAGAAAGAAACCCCCAAAGCCGCAGAGAGCAAAA